ATATCTGATGATCATGGAATGGCTGGGTTATTAATTTTTTTTCTTTCAATTATTATTGGTGAAAATTTAAGCAGTATTCCTCACCCTGAACAGTTGTAAGATGGAAACAAGATTGAATTAGATGACCACATTAATTCCGAGCTTAAGAAAAAACTGGGAAGTTTAAAAATGATACAGCTCTTGGAACAGATATTTCCAAGTGAGGTCTGAAGGAGGTTGATGATTGGATATGTGAGCCACTTACTACTACTTTTTGCAAGTCCTTAAATAGTGGGCAGGTACCAGAGGATTCAAAGTTAGCTAATGTAACTCCTCTTTTCCAGGGGGGTGATAAAAATTGTCCCAGTAATCATTAGTCTTACATCAGTTGTGGGAAAAGTTTTGGAAAGTCTGATAAAAGATGCTTTACAAAGTCATTTTAACAAAGTTTAGAATTTTATTGGATAGTCAACATGGTTTCACTAAAGGAAAATCTTGCCTTACAAATCTTGTAACATTCTTTGAAAAGGTTACTACTTATGTAGATGAAGGTAAGAGTCTTCTTTTTCAAGTGAAAGCAGTACCTCGATTGGATTTCCTAACTTCTTTTTCAAGAGAAAGCAGTACCTCGATTGGATTTCCTAACTTCTTTTTCAAGAGAAAGCAGTATCTCGATTGGATTTCCTAACTTCTTTTTCAAGAGAAAGCAGTACCTCAAATACAGTATTCCAAATATGGCCTAACCAGTGACTTACATATTGAAATTATAATTATTGAAATAACCTCTTTAGACTTCTATTCAATATTTCTATAGATACACAACCTAAAATCTTACTTACCTTACCACTAGTAGCAGTACATTGCATGGATGGCTTAAGAGACTGATCAACCAGAACACCAAGATCCTTTTCTACCATAACAATGTTATGGTTTTTCAAATCAAAATTAAAGTAAAATTATGATAAACTACATGTATTACCTTGCATTTATTTTAATTAAAAGCCATCTCCGATTTATTCACCAAACTAACTTTGTAAAGTATCACCATCCTTCTCATATCCAGCAACACCCAAGACCTTAATTTAAGCATTTTATTGATTGTACCTTCATTGATAAAAGCCGTGTATAACAAAGGTCCTAACACCGAGCTTTAAGGTTTGTGACATTAATCCAACTTGACTGCTCTGTATTCATAACAACCCTCTGCTTTCTTCCATCCAGCTCCTTTTCTATGCAATGAGCCAGTTTTTCCTCCACACCTGTAAAGATAATTTTTTTACAAGCCTTTTATGTGGAACCTTGTCAAATGCTTTGTGAAAACCCAGACACACCAAATCTACTTAGGAAATCCAATCGAGGTACTGCTTTCTCTTGAAAAAGAAGAGTTAAGAGATCCAATCGAGGTGTTTAAGACTGTTAAAGAAACTGATATTGATTTTGACGCATCATCTATTTTCATATTTAATGATGAGACTGGCAGAACTAGGGGCCAAAAATATAAATTTCTGTCTTCCCTTTCCTTCTCTCTCGTAAGTCTAG